ACCGAGAGGCATTCTATAAAATAACGGGCCTGTACTCTTCAAAAATGTCAGCATCATAGAACACCAAGAAAGGCGGGAGAAGTGTTTCAGATGTAAGGAAAATAAACATATATTAAAATTAAGTCAACATACAAGCCAAGATTTTCCTTTGCTATCACGGACACTGTTAGTCCATGGACAAAAATCTCAACAAAGGCCGGCCACAGTGGCTCACGCCTGTCATCCCAGCACTTTGGGAGGCTGACATGGGCGGATCACTTGAGGTCAGGAGTTTGAGATCAGCCTGGGCAACATGGTGAAACCCCATCTCTACTAAACATACCGAATTAGCCAGGCATGGTGGCGCATGCCTGTAGTCCCAGCTACCTGGAAGGCTGAGGCAGGAGAATCACTTGAACGTGGGAGGTGGAGGTTGCAGTGAGCCGAGAGATCGCGCCATTGTACTCCAGCCTGGGCAACAAGAGTGAAACTCTGTCTCGGGTGGGAAAACAAAAACAAAAACAAAAACATATACACACACACACACACACACACACACACACACACACATATCAATAAAGTCCACCAATCAGGTAACAGTATTGTTCAGTATTAATTTCCTGCTTGGGTAGATGCCTGCGGTTCAGTAAGAGATTGTGCTTGTCTTCTGGAAATACATACTGAAGTATTGAGTATGTCACTCTTATTTTATGTTTAAATTTTTTCTCTCTCTCCTTTTTTTGTAGAGGCAGGGTCTCAGTATACTGGCCAGGCTGGTCTCCTGGCCTCAAGTGATCTTCCCACCTTGGGCTCCCAAAATGCTGGGATTAAACCACTGCACCCAGGCCCTGTCACTTACTCTTAAATGGTTTCAGAAAAAAGTAACTGGAGAGGATAAAGCTGATATGGTAACATTTAGGAAATCTGGAAAGCTAAAAATAATTTTTTAATTTTTTTGAGATAGGGTCTTGCTCTGTCGCCCAGGCTGGAGTACAGTGGCGCAATCTCAGCTCACTGCAACCTCTGCCTCCTGGGCTCAAGCGATCCTCTCATCTCAGCCTCCTGAGGAGCTGGGACTACAGCCGCACACTACCACGCTCCGCTAATCTTTTAAATTTTTTGTAGAGACAGGATTTCGCCATGTTGCCCAGGCTGGTCTCAAATTCCTGGGCTCAAGTAATCCGTCCACTTTGGCCTCCCAAACTGCTGGGACTACTGGCGTGAGCCACCACGCCCAGCCTAAAAATAAATTATTGTTGAAATTGTATTTCAGTTTTTAAAAACTGTTACAGCCAAAAGATAACACAGTCTCCTAAAAGGAGTCTTGGGCTGGGTCAGAAGTAGATTCTAACCCTGAGCCTCTCCCTTACTAGCTATGTAGCTCTGGGCCATCACATCTGCAACGAGGGTAATCGCCCCACCCATCCATTCTGTTGGGTTACTTTTTTTTTTCTTTTTCTTTCTCTTTTTTTTTTTTTTTTTTTTTTTTTTGAGACGGAGTCTCGCTGTGTCACCCAGGCTGGAGTGCAGTGGCCCGATCTCGGCTCACTGCAAGCTCCGCCTCCCGGGTTCACGCCATTCTCCTGCCTCAGCCTCCGAGTAGCTGGGACTACAGGCGCCCGCCACCTCGCCTGGCTAGTTTTTTTTTTTTTGGTATTTTTAGTAGAGACGGGGTTTCACCATGTTAGCCAGGATAGTCTCGATCTCCCGACCTCGTGATCCACCCGCCTCGGCCTCCCAAAGTGCTGGGATTACAGGCTTGAGCCACTGCGCCCGGCCTCTTTTTCTTTTCTTTTTTTTTTTTTTTTGAGACAGGGTCTCACTCTGTCACTCCAACTGGAGTGCAGTGGTGGTCTCGGCTCACTGAAGCCTCAACTTCCTGGGCTCAAGTGATCCTCCTGCCTCAGCCTCCCAAAGTGCTGGGATTACAGGTGTGAGCTACCACCTCTGGCCCTGTTGGGTTATTGGTGATTAGTGGGCTAATGAATGGAATAGCACTCTGCAAACATCGGGGGCTAGACACAGCTCATGCTGAAATATGGTTTCCTGAGGATGAGGTCTAAACTGCCTCCTCTCTCTGGAAAGGGGGCCACGGTAGGTATAAAGATGGGGCCCCAGGCGGCCACGCAGGTGCTCTCCTAGGAACTTGTGCGTGTGCAGGATTCTCTCTAACCTCCTGCCTTTATGTGACTGTAATCAGTTTTAGCGATGGTTTCTGTCACTTCGCATTGTATCATATCATTAAAAAAAAAGACTTACAGAATTCAAAACCAGTATCTAAGAGCTGCATACCATTTCAGAAGGGGAAGGTAGACTCTTAACTTCCTGTTCCCCCACTGCTGGACATTGAGGTTACTTCCAAATTCTCACCATGATAAGTGCCTCACAAGCAGCTTTGTACATAAAGCTTTGTATGTATTTTAGATTATCTCCTTAGACTAGGCTCTGGTAAATAGGATTACTGGATCAAGGGGTATGAACCGAATACTTTCTACAAAGACTATTTCAATTCACACCATCAATAATACTGTAGAAAAATGCCAGTGAAACTGGCATTTATCATGTTTGTATTCTGCCTTACTTTTTTTTGATATGGAGACTTGCTCTACCACCCAGGCTGGAGTGCAGTGGCACGACTGTGGCTCACTGCAACCTCCACTTCCCAGGTTCAAGCGACTCTCCTGCCTCAGCTTCCTGAGTAGTTGGGACTACAGGCATGCATCACCATGCCTGGCTAATTTTTGCAATTTTAGTAGAGATGGGGTTTCCCCATGCTGGCCAGGCTGGTCTCAAACTCCTAACCTCAAATGATCCGCCCACTTTGGTCTCCCAAAGTGCTGGGATGTACAGGCATGAGCCACCACGCCCAGCCCTGCCTTACTATTTTTTTCCTCCTAATTAAATAAGGAAATGGTACCTTATTGTTATAACTTACACTGCTTTGAATATTAATGGTATATGATATATATTTATCAACTGCTGTTACTATTTTGCTTGAGTATGTCTTTTGTCCATTTTTCAGGATATTTGTGGGTTTAAAAAAATTGAATTCCTAAACGCACATTAGAATAGGGATATCAACTTTTGTGTTGTCATATTTTAAAATACTTTCCAAAACTGAAAGCTTTGAAGAGGACTGAATTCCAGCAGTATGAAATGGTTAAAAAGTGGATAATCACGTATCTATGCCTGAAGGTGGTATTTCTCACATCAATAGATCCTGCAAACAATAAACTAATATTCCAAAGAAATTTTACTGGAAATACATTGGAGAGTCCTTAGTAAGGTCATTGGCAATACAGTCTAGGAAGATCTAGGTCAACAGATGAACCTGTTAGACAGGTTTAACCAATTCCCTTAGACTAGTCTGAATGCTGAGAACTCCAGAGAATAAATTGTCAAACTCCCTCTCTAGCTTGGATACAGGTAATTTTATTTTCTTTTAAGAGGCAGGCAGGTCACATTCAACAGACAAGATGAATAAGTTGCTTTTCTTTTCTTTTTTCTTTCTTTTTTTTTTTCTTTCTTGTTTGAGACAGGGTGTTGCTCTGTCTGCAGTCATAGCTCACCATAGCCTTGACCTCCCAGGTTCAAGCGACCCCCACAGGGTCCCTAATGAGAACCAAACAGAAAAACCCCCAACTCAGGTTTGTTGGGCAATCCTTCTTTTCCACAGAAGCTGGACCAGGTTCTGTTATCGTTTAAAAAATATACTATGTTGAATATTTTTAAAGACAAGAAGGGAAAGAGAACAGGTTCTTGCAAAGATAGGTACAGCCTCGACTCCTTTCAAGTACACGCGATCTCCCGAGTACTCGCTGCCCACACACAGCCAAGTCATCACGGGACCCAGACAGTGTCAGACGGGATGCTGCCGGGAAAGCAAGGCGGGGCCCTGTTCCGTGGGGCCCTGCAGCATTTGAGCCACAGTTTGAATGATGTGTTGCAAAGAGTTTTTACTTGCACAGCTGAGAAGCAGGTCACTTCGTTTCTCAAGAACCAGCCGGCCTCAGTGCACAACTGAAGGTCAAGCGACTCTTACAGCCCTGTAGCCTCACCGTGTGACACCCAGGTGACCTGTCTCTGCCAAAGTGCTGACTGTGCTCGCAGTCCTTGGAAGGCACTTAAGTTTTTAATAGAAAGGACCTATAATTAGGGCAGTATCTGGTGCTCTGATCTGGGAGTAGGAGAAAAGGAAAACAGCCCCTAGGATTCCTGCCCACAGTTCAGCACAGGACGCCAGGAGATTTTCAAAACCTGACATTCCCCAGAGATTTTCAAAACCTGACATTCTTCAGCGAGGCTTATGTGAAAGATGCTTGAACCGCAGAGTAAGGTCTCGGCTCTTCCCCACTCTCAGAGAGCCTCCAGGAGGACTCCGAGACTCCCAGACCAGCCCTCCGCCCCCGACCTCAATCTCAGAATAACTGAACTCTGGAAAGTCAAGATCACCAAGAACAGAAATACAAGAGGCTGGGGCCTGAGTTTAGAAACGACCAAAGACAGAATAAAAAGGACAGTCCTTTGTAAACTGTACAGTAGACACAGGGCAGCTTGGGAGTGGCGGAGTGCACCAAGCTCACTGTGGCTTGGGGTGGGGTGGTGGGGTGTGACTAGGAGTTGCCGGCTCTCCAGCCCGGGACAGTTACCCAACTCGTCTCCCAGCCTGTTTCCCCATGGGCAGCCGAGACGGCCAGGACATAGTGAAGCAGGTCACAAGGGGCTCAGAGTGTCCTCCCCTGCCCCGTCCAAGGAAACAGGGCCCGGCTCTGGGGGCGAACTCTGACCCCAGTACCCCAAGTGGCTGTGCCCTGGGGCAGGCACAGAGGAGCTCCCTCGGGAGCGAATCTCGGGTAGTTCTGGCCTCCTCCCGCTGGCCCAGGGCTGCCCCGGGGGCGCCAGCAGGCACTGCTCGCTGTGGGTAGGGGGGTGCAAACTAGACGCGGCCTCTGGGAGGGCAAGACCGGGAGGGGTCGGCCTGTGTCGGGGGCTACTGGAAAAGCAGCGCCACCGCCACCCACCTGACGACATGGAAGGCCCAAAGCAGGCGGTCTGTGCGGGGCCCGCGCCAGGCGCGGACGATGCTGAGATACAGGTAGAACGCAATGGCTACGGTCCAGAAGAAGGAGCTGGTGTTGGCGAAGGTGGACAGCGCGCCCTGCAGCACGCAGTCCCACGACGGGCCCGCGAAGTCCTGCAGCACTCCGTAGAAGTAGGAGGCGGCCGAGAGCAGGTCGGCCAGCGACAGGAAGAGCAGCAGGCGCCGTGCCCGGCTGCGCAGGTCGGGCCACAGGGCGTGCGTGGCCACCAGCAGGCCCGAGCCGAGCGCGGAGAGCGCGCACGACAGCAGCACCACGGTGCGCTCCGACGGCACCAGCTCGGTGGGCGGCGCGGCCTGCGGCATGGCGTGGGGGACCAAGAGCCAGAGCGCCGCGAGGGCAGAAGCCGGGCCGCGCGTGCGGCCACCGCCGCCGCCGTCTGGGCAGCTAGACGCCCGAGGCTCGCGTCTAGGCGCCCGCCCCACCCGCGTCCGGCCGCTCCCCGCCCATCTGGGCTCTGGGTCCTGAGCCCCGCCCACGCCCAGGGCCTCGCCCCTATATCCCGGTCTGAGCCCCGCCCAGGTGCCCCTCCTCGTCCCGTTTCTCCGGGCCCTGAGCCCCGCCCCCTCCACGCCCGTGCGGCTTCCAAGCTCCACCGGGTGCCAGAGGCTCCTGAGCCCCGCCCACGCCCTCACACCACGTCCCTAAGCCCCTAAGCCCTTAAGCCCTACCCCCTGTCCCTCCACACTCTGCCAGGCCCACCCCTGCTCTTGCCAGGTGTCTGGGACGTCCAGTCCTGTGAGAGGAAGGACTGGCATTTTTAGGGCTCGTATTACTTTCCCTCTTTTCAGCCAGCATTCTGTGTGTGTTGTGAGTGGAAGGGCGTGAGGATCAGAGGCGTTCTTTCCACTAGCAACAGAAGCAACTCTCGGGTGTGATCCTCATTCCTTAAGCCGTGATCCCGACGTGTTCACAAGTTGGTGGTGATGACTTGGGGAAGCCGGTGTTTCCAACTTTTCTTAAAATAAACATGCTGTTTTTAAAAAAAATAGCGAACTAGGTGTGATTTTTAAAAAATGAAATGCTAGGCCGGGCGCGGCTTTTTCTTGTTTTAAAATTTCATACTTTTCAATTAAGATGTAGTTCACATACCGCAAAATTGGCCCTTTTAACTAAACAATTCAGTAGTATGTTCACAAGTTTGTGCAACCATCGTTATTATCATTATTATCTAATTCTACAACATTGTCATCACCCCAAAAAGAAATCCTTATCCCTTAGCCGTTAGCCCTTAGTCATTCTCCCCTAAGCCCTGGCAACCACTCTTTTACCGCGGATTTGCTTGTTCTGTACATTTCCTATAAGTAAAATCGTATGCTCTGTGTCCTTTATGTCTGACTTTTTTCACTTAGCACGTTTCTGAGGTTCATCGTAGCATATAGCAGTGCTTCATTCCTTTTACTGCCCAATCATATTCCATTATATGGATATACCACTTTTTTTTTTTTTTTTTGTATAGACCGAGTCTCCCTCTGTCGCCCCGACTGGAGTGCAGTGGCATCATCTCGGCTCACTGCAACCTCTGCCTCCCAGCTTCAAGCACTTTTCCTGCCTCAGCCTCCCGAGTAGCTGGGACTACAGGCACATGCCGCCACACCCGGCTAATTTCTTTTCTATTTTAGTAGAGATAGGGTTTCACCGTGTTGCCCAGGCTGGTCTTGAACTTCTGAGCTCAAGCGGTCTGCCTGCCTTGGCCTCCCAAAGTGCTAGGATTACAGGCATGAGCCACCGTGCTCAGCAGGATGTACCACATTTTACTTAGCTATTATTCATTAGCCCATGGACATTTGGGTTGTTAACACTTTTTAACTATTATGAATAATATCACTATGAAAATTTGCATACAAGTTTTTTGTGATGTATGTTTTCAGTTCTCCTATGTGTATACCTAGGAATGGAGTTGCTGGGCCATATGCAACTTTATATTTCACCTTGTGAGGAACTGCCAAGGTGTTTTTCAAAGTGACTGTACATTTCATTTAAATTTGCACCAGCAATGTATGAGGAATTTCTCTACATTCTTTCAACACTTTTTTTGAGACAGGGTCTCTGTCACCGAGGCTGGAGTGCAGGCACAACCACAGCTCACTGCAGCCTCAAATTACTGGGCTCAAGCAATCCTCCCAAATTGGCCTCCCCAATAGTTAGGACTTCAGGTGCATGTCACCATGCCCTACTAATTTTTTTTTTTTTTTTTTTTTTTAAGACTGAGTCTTGCTCTTGTTGCCCAGGTTGGAGTGCAGTGGTGTGATCTAGGCTCACTGCAACCTCTGCCTCCTGGGTTCAAGCAATTCTCCTGCCTCAGCCTCCCGAGTAGCTGGGATTACAGGTGTACACCACCACGCCCTGCTAATTTTTGTATTTTTAGTAGAGACAGGGTTTCACCATGTTGGCCAGGCTGGTCTCGAACTCCTGACCTCAGGTGATCTGCCCGCCTTGGCCTCCCAAAGTGCTGGGCTAACAGGTGTGAGCCACCTTGCCCAGCCCCTACTAAATTTTTTTTTTTGGAGATGGGGTCTCACTATGTTGCCCAGACTGGTCTCAAACTCCTGCCTTGACCTCCCAAAGTGCTGGGATTACAGGTGTGAGGCCACCTCACCCAGCCTTCCAACGTTTTTTATTATTTTTGTGATAATAGCCATCATAGTGGGTGTGAAGTTGTTCCTCATTGTGGTTTAGATTTGCATTTCTCTGATGAATAATGACCTCAAACATCTTTCCATGTGTGTATTGGACATTTGCATATCCTCTTTGGAGAAATGTCTATCCAACTAACTTTCTCTTTTCTTTCTCTCTTTCTTTCTTTCTTTTCTTTTTTTTTTTCTCAGACTGAGTCTCACACCGTCACCCTGGCTGGAGTGCAGTGGCGTGATCTCAGCTCACTGCAACCTCCACCTCCCAGGTTCAAGCAGTTCTCCTGCCCCAGCCTCCCGAGTAACTGGGATTACAGGCGCCAGCCACCACACGCAGCTAATTTTTGTATTTTTAGTAGAGACGGGGTTTCACCGTGTTGATCAGGCTGGTCACAAACCCCTGACTTCAAGTGATCCACCCGCCTCAGCCTCTCAAAGTGCTGGGATAACAGGCATGAGCCACCACACCTGGCCAATTTTCTTTCTTATTTTTAAATTGGTTTGTCTTTTCGTTGTTGAGCTGCAAGAGTTCTTTATGTATTCTAGTTATTACCCTCTTACCAGCTGTGTGATTTGCAAATATTTTCTCCCATGTTGTGGGTTGTCTTTTCACTTTCTTGATAGTGTATTTCAAAGGAAAAAAGTGGTTTTTGACGATGTCCAATTTGTCCATTTTTTTCTTTGGTTGCTTGTGCTTTTGTTGTCACGTCTAAGAAACCAGCACCTATGCCAAACTCATGAAGGTTTGCATCTCTGTTTTGTTTCTTTCCAGCACCTCACTTTTATGGTTACTGTAGCTTTATAGTAAGTTTTGAAATTGGGAAGTGAGTCCTTCAAGATTATTTTTTTCTTTTTTTTGAGATGGAGTCTCACTCTGTTGCCCAGACTGGAGTGCAGTGGTTTGATCTCAGCTCACTGCAACCTCTGCCTCCCAGGTTCAAATGATTCTCCTGCCTCAACCTCCCGAGTAGCTGGGACTACAGGCGCCCACTACCACACCTGGCTAATTTCTGTATTTTTAGTGGAGGCAGGGTTTCACTATGTTGCTCAGGCTGTTCTCAAACTCCTGACCTCAAGTGATCTGCCCGCCTCAACCTCCCAAAGTGCTGGGATCACAGGCTTGAGCCACCATGCCCCACCCTTCAACATTGTTTTTCTTTTCCAATATTGTTTTGGCTATCCGATGCCCCTTGCAATTCCCTATTAATTTGAGAATCAGTTTTTCCATTTCTGCAAAAGAAATGGAAAAGATTGACAGAGATTGCTTTGAATCTGTAGATAAAAGTGGAGAATAATGCTATATTAATAATATGAGATCTCCTTATCCATGGACCAAGGATGTCTTTCCATTTATTTAGCTTTTCTTTAACTTCCTTCAGTGATATCTTATAGTTTTTGGTGTACATTAGGTTTGATTTCGCGTTTGGTTCATAGAAAGCAAATATTATCTTTGTATATCTAACTTTAAAAAAATTGTTTTGGCCGGGTGCAGTGGCCTGTAATCCCAGCTCTTTGGGAGGCTAAGATGGGAGAATCACTTGAGAGGCCAGGAGTTTAAGACCAGCCTAGATGACTTAGTGAGACTCCATCTCATACAAAAATAAAATAAAGGCCAGGCATGGTGGCTTACGCCTATAATCCCAGCACTTTGGGAGGCCGAGGCAGGCAGATCACCTGAGGTCAGGAGTTCCGAGACCAGCCTGACCAACATGGTGAAACCCCATCTCAACTAAAATTACAAAATTAGTTGGGCATGGTTGCAGGGCGTAATCCCAGCTCTTTGGAACCTGAGGCAGGATAATCACTTGAACCTGGGAGGCAGAGGTTGCAGTGAGCCGAGGTTGCACCATTGCACTCCAGCCTGGGCAACAAGAGTGAAACTCTGTCTCAAAAAAATAAATAAATAAAAATAAAAATAAATAAAATTGTTTTATGAAATATTCATATTGAAAAGTGCCTAAAATACAAATGTACAATTTATTAGATAATTATAAACAGCCATCCAGGGCAAGAAATACAACATTACCAGCATACCACAAACCTCCCACAAACCCCTTCCCCCTCAGTCATTTCCTTGCTTTTTTTTTTTTTTTGCCCAGGCTGGTCTTTAACTCCTGGGCTCAAAGGATCCTCTGGCCTCAGCCTCCTAAGCAGCTGGGACTACAGGTAGGAGCCACTACTGGAGGCTCTAGCTCTTACCCATCCATGTATGCATCCCTGAACAAAACAGTGCAGTTTGCCTGTCATTGAGCTTTATGTAAGCGGAATCATACTCTCTGTTCCCTTTTGTGTTTTCTGTATTTTGTTCAACCTTATTTTTGTGAGATTCATCCAACCTCTTACTATTTGCTACATGCAATTCATTCATTTTCACTACTGTATAGTACTCCACTGTATAAATAATTCCATTGTATAAATAATTGTGTATTTATCCATTCTATTGTTTTTGGACATTTGGGTTGTTTCCGGGTTTTGGCTATTAGAAGCAATGCTGGAATAAGCATAGATTCTTTTTTAATCAGAAAACAAGTTACTACAGGCAGTTCTCAGCAGTGCGAGCAAACGTATTTGTGGAGTTTGTTCTGCAGAGAGCTAAGAGCGGCTGCCTTCCTTCCAAGTCACTTGTGATCGTTCAAAAGACCCCTGACCTCCTCCTGAGAGGACCCCAGACCATAAACAGAACCTGGCTGAGAGTTCTGTCAATGAAGCCTCTCAGCTTTTCTCTGATGGAAATAGCTTTAAGTTTGGCTTTTGCAATCAGCCTGGGGCTTTGGACTACGGCAAGGCAAGAGTCTGGAATGGATTCTGC